TTTGTACTCAATTGCCGATCCATTAATTCTAACTAAGCCACTAAGCAAAGTTTTACAAACAGAAAATTTAGATTTGGTCGAGGCAGCTCAACATGCTAATAGAGTCATAGATAATCTTCAATCTAGAAGAGAAAATGTTGAGCAAATATTTCATGATATCTTTACGAGAGTTTCTAAAGTTGCAGAGGAACTGAATATTGAATTAAAAATGCCAAGATGTATAGAAAGACAAGTAAATCGTGCAAATATTAAAAGTAACTCATTAGAAGAATATTTCAGGATTGCTATATTTATTCCCATGCTAGATAGTATGATAACAGACATGAAATCAAAATTTGGAACAATCCAAATAGCTATAATGGATTTGAGTCGTTTGATACCTTCAGTTTTCCTCGGAATAAGTGGTAAGGCAGAACAGAATAAAACATGGTTTTTAATTGACCAAGCTGTTACGAAATATAAAAGTTTAATAACAAATTTGACCTCGTATGATGACAACACGGCCATTGAATTTGTACGCAATGAAGAAATGCTCTGGACGCAGTACTGGGTAAAGATGAATTCACAGCCCAAAACGGCCATTGAAGCTCTCGCATTGTGCAATTCCAATCTCTATCCGACAATTCACAGCCTATTGTCAATATTGTGCACCATGCCTGTTTCAGTAGCAACGGCAGAACGTTCATTTTCTACCCTGAGGCGGTTAAAAACGTGGATGCGCTCCAAAATGAATGAGGAAAGATTAACGGGATTAGCCATAATGAACATTCATCGCGATATTGAATTAGATATTGAAGACATTATAACAAGGTTTGGCCAAAAAAAATGTAGAAAAACGACATTTGTCTTGTAAATATTTCATGTATATAACAGAACAATGTTTTGAAGAATGTTTTTCAATTTAAAAAAAATCAAGAAGTTGAAGTGTTTGACTTTTTGTTATTTATTTCATAAAATATCAAACCTCAGTTCAAAGTGGGGGGGGGCGATCGCCCCCACCGCCCCCCCTCTGGATCCGCCATTGATTTTCACAATAATTTTAAAAATTACTTAATTAATTTAATATCATTTAATATAACTTATTCATTTAATATCACTTTGAATAATCAATAAGTTGAATCGTTAATTGTACGTCGAATGCATATTTGTGTTCACATTTCACAACTTCATATTGCGTTTTGCGTTAACCTGCCTTCTTTTTTCTTTCTCGTGCCTTATCCTTTCAGGACATTGGCGACCATCGACCTCTACACCCGATCTTTAACACTCTGTAGTAGTTGAAATGTCGTGATATTCAACAAGTGACACAAGGACTTCACGAATGTTATTCGTTGTTGACGCGATCTCTTTTCTCGGCAATCTTTCCAGTAGTTGTTAGATTTTGCATTCTTTCCTTCCGCATAATGTGACCAAAAAAAATTTACTGCTCCCGTCGGATTATCTGTAGTAATTTTTCTTTTCATAACCGGACTATTTTAATACATCCTCATTCGCGGTATGAGAGGCCCAACTAATTTTCATAATTATTCTCACAAACCACATCTCAGCAGCACTAATCTTTTTTTTTATTTCTTTAGATATAGTTCATGACTCAGAGCATAGGAAAAATGTAACACAGGGGAAATGTAACATCCTAACAGTTTTAATTTTGTTGATATTCTGATTTTATTGCTGGTGAAGATGTTTTTCATTTTTAGAATATAGCTATCTTTCTTTTGATATCCATATCACATTTACAACCTGAGTTAATCAGACTTCCAAGATAATTGAAGCTGTTGACTTATTCCACTCGTTTACCATTTATGATTATGGAGCTGATCGAGACGGTTTTGCTTTTACTGATAACCATGCAATCTGTTTTGCTGACTTGCAAACCTTTCCTTTCACTTTCAAAAACCAGTTTGGAAAGAATTGTTTGCAATTTTTTCATTGAATCTGCTATAAGAGCTGTATCATCAGCATCTCTTACATTGTTTATATTTACGCCTCCAATGGATATTCCCGGTAGGTTTATCTTTCTTATGATTATCAGAGATTGTACAGGTCTGGTAAAAATACACAGCCTTGCCTAACACTTTTCTTTATTTCGACAAAACTTGTTACCAACTTTCATCGCTGCTTTTTGGTCCCAATAGAGTTTTTTGATAACTCGTGTCTTTTCCATCAATGTTCAAATTTTCCAATATTTCCATAAACTCCACGTGGAGTAATCGATAAAACATATAAACAAATCTTTCTTCATTTCAATCGCTCGTTCATTAATTATTCATAGCAATTTTTTGTAAATAAAATTAATTCATTAAGAACATCTAATTTCAATTTTTCTTCTAACTTTACTAAACTTACTACTGGATTTTTTTCTGTATTTACTCCTATAAGTTTTCTAGAACTTGCTAAAATTATTAATTCTATGTCATCTACAACTTCTCAAATTAGTTAATTTATCTCTCTCCATCTTTAAATTTCCTACTTCTTATAAAAATTCCCTACTTCTTATAAGAACTCTATTGTTATTCCTATTCTTAAAAACTCATCTTTAGATCCTTTCTCTGTATTTAATTATCCATCTAATCTCAATAGTGTTCTTCATAATCTTTCCGTTCTTCATAATCACTATGTCTTTCTTCAATTATCGCTTAATCTGATTCTATGTTTTTTAAACTTAATCCTTGTAAATTTGAATTTATTTGTTTTAATAAATCTAAACACTCTATTACTATTTCTCCTATTATTTACCTGATTCTAAAACACTTTCATCTACGTAGAATAAAAAAACTTTTGCATTTTCTTGACAATCCTACTCTTTTCCTTTTGTTACTTCGTTGGTTTTATCCAGGATTGATTATTTTGACTCGCTCTACTATGATCTTCCTGATTCTACACTCTATCTTTCAAGTAAAGCTTTTAACGTAAAATAAAGCTGCTCGTCTAATTGCTCGTGCCCCTTTCTCTTCCCATAAATCTCCATATCTTGTTCTCTTGCACTGGCTACCTAAAAAATATAGAATAATTTTTAAAATTTGCACATTTATGTATAAGTTTCAATCTAAATTATTTCCTAAGTACTTATCAGATATATTAATTGAATCTAAACGCCACGGTTTACGATCGTCATCTTGTTCTTGTTAAATTTCTTGTCACGTAGATCGTTTAATTAATTGATATAATATTGAAAGACGGTAAAAGAAGAGAAATAAACTAAGCAACGTTCTCGACTTGTTTATTATCCACCGGATCGACAGAAAAGGAAAAAGTGAAGTTACATACAAAGCAAAGAACATTTGGTCCAAAGAAAATAAATGTATATCATAAATCATAATGTTTTAATATAAAACAAAACTTAACAGTTCTCACTTCTTAACTCGTGTTAAACACTTTCGCTAAATCTGCATTTGCTTTTTCTGGCCCTTTTTTCCTTCTCTGACTACTTCTCCATCACTTACGAAGTTCAGACCTGATTTCAAGACCCATCTGTTTGCAAAATTCATTAAGAAGCGCTGTTGAACATAGCGGAAATAGCGCTTGATTGATTGCTTGCTTGATTGATTGCTTGATTGATTGAATCGATTGATTGATTGCTTGACTGATTGGTTGGTTGGTTGATTGATTAATTAGCGTTTCTTGTGCAACAATCATCAAAAAAACCACATTAGATATTTGAAGTTTCAGATCTGATTTTACTTCGTGCTTTCATCAATAGAATTCTCGAAAGTAGTTTTGTACTCATCAAGTTGATTGTTCGATGTAGTAGTTCACATTCTGTTGCATTAAGTTTTTCTGACAATGCAATAAATATTGACTTGGATAGATCTTTAAAGACTGTCATAGCTGGAAGTGGTGATGATGTTGAGCTCTTATCACAATTAAAACACCCCAATGGCGTGGGTCTCAAATAGCCTTTGACAGTCAAAATCCAACGCCTGGCCTTCTCGTGGCAGAACTGTTTAAACTAACAGGAAAAGGGGTGAAGGTGGATAACTAGCGCCTCAAAACTAGTCGCTTCGGGTTGATGAGGCTCGTTACCCACCCATTTAGAAAAAAAACTCTGATTTCAAACCTCCATTGCCTTAAGGCTATACCTTTTCTAGGAAAAGGCTAAGGAAATAAACCCTAACAGAAAATCAGGCGTGGTAGTACGTTTTTAAGACGATATGATAGCTTCGACCTTTACTTGGCTTGCTATCTACACACGTTTGCCTGGCGAACAACTACAGCCAAAGTATTGTCCATATGGAGTCGTCTTAAAAAACCTCGAACCGCATCGCTTGTCGAGCGAGTTAACAAGGAGCGCGCAGTCTCGGTTATCGTCTGCCGGCTGTGATAAGCGGATACGGCGAACAACCCTATTTATGACCCCTCTTTACAATCCCGCTCCCATGTTGGAGCCAACCCACTTGAATTGCGAAACACCACCAGGATCGGCTCTTGACACTTTGCTCAACGGGTGGCGCAAGGATTCTCGTGGACGTCAAGTCGCAATACGGTTTATGCATTATGAATCTGCATGAAAGTTTGATGGCATGGCGCTGGTGAACTGCGTGTTGCTGATTTCAATATACTGTGGTTGAGCCCAGCTGAGTATCATCCCTGGTGTTGCCTTGGCCTTGAGCAATCAGACTACTAGTGCATTGATTGTATGGCACCCGATCAGTGAAAGAGTGATGGATGCTCGTTTCAGACAATGATATGGTGCTATGTCAGTGATTGTCTGCCACGCGCCAACTAATAAAACGACGGCTGAGACCAAAAATCTATTTTACAGCGCACTGAACAACTCGTTTCGCTTCATCAGGCCCATCGAGCTCATCATTTGCCTAGGCGACTTTAACGCGATAAAGAGTGTTGACCGCCTTATACCAGCGGTCGTTGGTTCCTTTGGCAGCGGGTCACCAAACGACAACTCTGATTGTTTCCTGGAATTCTGTGTCTCCGCGATACTTAGGGTCTGCGGATCTTTGTTTAGCTGTAAGGATATCCATAGATTGACGCGGCACTCAAATGACGGCGTTACGGCTAAGGAGGTTGACTATAACCTGGTAAATGGCAGGTGGTTGCCGGTTTGTAACTGCCGTGTGTATCGTGGCATGGAGTTTGATACTGATAATTCCCCGGTGGTGGACACTTTAGCCATACAGTAATTAAAACTAAATCTCCCCATAGATTCAATATCCGTCTACTGCGGAAAAACGTCACTGCCGCAACATACGCGGCCGAAGTAGAAAAGTGTTTCATTACTGCTTCTGATGATGAGCTCTCCTCGTAGGATTCATTTCGATGACTAAGACGGCTAATAAGGTTCTCGATCATGCTGTTCCCAGGTGTCATTAATGGATTTCAGCCGCAACAAGGCGACTGATCGAAACGAAACGACAGGCTAAATTAGTGGCATAAAGAAGTCGCGTACCTTTTTATATATTCATCAACTAACAAAATTATTTTCAAGACCTTCTTTACCTAACATGTATGCCTTTATATCCAATCATTTAATGTTATGATTTCAATTTAAACATGCATTTTTTAAATCTCTTTATAATATTCAGTATTTTTTCTGCAAGTTTATTATTGCATTCTCATCTGCATTTGTAAATATCTGATCATTAATCTACATCATAATTTTACCGCAGCAATATATTAGCTAGTTTCAAGTCATCATTAAATCAACTTTTTTCATACCAGAATGTAAACTTATCAGTTTTAACCCTTTCCTTACATTATTTGTCAGTTTTAATAATTCATTTTTTTTATCTTATTTATTTTTTCATACAAAATATAACTTTTTTTGAGATAAACTTCAGATAATGTTATATCAATTGGAAGTTTCTATAAAAAAAAGATATCATTTCATTTCATTTACATTTTTTAATAAAATATTTTTCAACATTTGTGTCTCTTTGTTGTCAAATTAGTTGCCATTGACTTACGTAAATGATTTGCACTCAAATATAAAACTATCTTTATTTTAATCACTAAAAGTAAAGTATTGAAAATACAATAAAAAAAATTTATTTAAATATTACTTATTTTATCACCGATTAAATGTAAAATTAACACAGTTTGCTAAAAACAGTCCATTTCATATCCATGGCATACAATATATATAGACAGATTAATCATTAATTTACTCTGGCTTTTATCAATAACTAGAAATTATTAAAATTGAAAGCAGACATTTTCCCGTTATGTATATATACAATGCAAATTCAAGAGACAACATAAAAGTTTATGAAATATGGTTCAGCTTCAGATGATTATATTTTCAAAAAAATGTACTCAAATGATTGTCAGCTATTGTTATTACAGTAATTATGAGCAGTTATAAATTTGGTATACATTCTCATGAATTTACATATCACGTTTATAACAATAATAAAATAAAACGTAAAGACAAATTAATATGAATGAATGATTGTGATTGATTATCAGAATATCCATTGCAGAGCAAAGTGAGGGATATCAGTGAAACTTGTAATTTTGGAAATTAGTATCAAAAAAGCCCAACGCAACTGAAACACACCAGCAACGTTAGCAATCAAACATTACCAACTTATGTTGCTAGTTTTTTTAAAGCGATATTCTTATTTGGTAATAACTCAACTACGGAAGCTATGACGATAATCGAAAACTAGACGATATTCTAAACATAGATAAAAAGCTAAATGTTTTTTAAAATTAATTTTTCATTGATGTTTTTGGTTCCATGGATCAAGATTTTTAGCAAAAATTTATTTTAACCGATGTATGTATATATATATATATATATATATAAATAGGAGATTTGCCATATCCATTATATATTACCATGATTTACTTTCATTAGCTTCAATCGAAATATGCTAATTACCCGGCAGCAGCTGTATGCCGCTTTTATAGCAATGGTAATATCTTATTCTTTATATATAATGCAATCTTTGTTTATTTATAGTCTTTGTAATTTTTAGAAAATAAAGCGTCGCACTATATTGCCATAGTTTCAATTGTTTTGAATCACCTGCAATATTTGGAGTCGTCGTTTTTCTTGGAGTTCTGGTTAGAAAGGATAAGATAAAAGAAGAAGTTTAAATTCAAAGATGTCTTTCTACTTGAGTAAAAAAGTCAGTAAATTCACAAATGGATTAATAATATGTTAATCAATTTATTTTGTCGTTTTGTTGAATTTATTAATTTTTATTTAAAATTAATAATAAAAAAAATTATTAAAAATTTAAAACTTTTAATTAAATTAGAGGTATTAAAGCTTATTGATCGACGAAGTGATTGAACGTGCTATTCAACAATTATTTTTTTCCTTGAAATTGCTTTTATATTTGATAGTTTATTGGTCAAAATATCACTTTCTTGACTTAATAATTATTAACATGCTTTAATTTTAATCAATTAATAATATTAATATTGATAAGCGCTTAATAAGAGGGTATGGATGTAAATTTGTTCTGATGTTGGCATAACACTAATAAACATAACAAATATATTTACATTACATAATATAAAAATGAAAAAAATGGCTGATCAATAATATTTTTTTTATTTGTATAATTCTTTAAAAATCAGGATCTGACAGACACAGAAACTGTTACAGCATGCAAGGCAGTAGTACATAATAAAACAAATAAGTAAATAAATGAATAAAAAACAGAGAAAGAATATGAAAAATAAAATAAATAATAAATAATAATAATAAAACAAATAAAATAATTTGACAATAAAATAAAGTAATAGCATAAAATCGCAAATTAATAGATGACGGAAAATTTAGAGACTGAAAATCCACAACACGATGTTGAGTAAACCATAGACATCGCAGACGTAAAATATTATTTATCAATTAAAATAAATAAATTATAAATGTATTAAATAATATATATGTAATGACTTTCATTTTCATGACTTGACTTCAGAAGCATACTCTTTATTTTTTTGCTTGGGGTGGTTAAACAAATGATTTTTCAGACATTTCTTCAAGTCTGATAAATCTTATGATTTACTTTCAGCGGGTTCCGGTTCTTTAACTTTCATAATCGTCTATTTAAAAAAATAGTCTAAACGTTTTTAATTGCTAATAATGTTTGGATATGTTGCATTACGTCATTTGAAAATTTCAGTTATCAATGAAAAGTGACATAACAATCAGATGTGTCAGCATCAACATCACTGACAGATATATTGCTGCAGGCGGCGATGGAGGATTTTTAAAAATATTTTGCCTTGAAAGCCAAAGCAAGGATGGTTATTTACTTAGCTCATATTTATTTATATTTTAATAGATTTTTTCAGTAAAAATATTCAGTATAATCAGAACTTGATATATCTATTCAGTTATCTTTCAAATTACTTTATTTTGTAAACTTTTCCGCATTTGCTCAGATTTTTAATAAATATTCTTGATTAATATTTAAGTTTTATATTTTCCTTGTATGGTGCCTCTTTATATATTGCTATTATGTAAATTTTTTAGTTGTATTTTAAATTTATGTTCCTGTTATGAATGAGTTTAATTCAGCCCTTTTTACTATTTCTTTTCTGTTTCTTTTTACTATTAGATTTCATAATTTATAATTTTGCACAAATTTTGATTAGCCCACTTTTATTTATTTTTTATTTTATTGAATTGTTTTTTGCATATAAATCTATACAAGCATGTGAGTTTGTCGTTTCCTGATTTTTCTGTTTGGAAACTCTTTATTAATCATCTGTCTTTTTTTTAACATTTGTTATTGAACCATTTTTTTATAAATGTACTACTTTTTTATAAATTAAAAAGAATTCGGTGGTGCTGGTCGAAATATAGCTACAGCAAATAGCTTGGTTCATGACCAATTATTGGAAGGACACAAAGGTTTCGATCATTTTTGTTACAAAAATTTGTGAAATTACTATTTACATTTTTTTCAAGCAACAGTACAAGTTCTGGCTTGGAATGAAAAGTTCAGAAAATTAACAACAGGAGATTTAAATGGAAATATAATAGTTTGGATTATCGAAAAAAGTATTTTTATTAAATACTTTATATTTAGTATAAGTTATATAAATGTTATGTCACTCGCTTTGTTTTATCATGTTTTCATGAAAGTTATGTTTTTCTCATCTTAGCACAGAACATTTTAAAATGGTGTCAGTTCTCATTCTTTTTATAATAACTTGGATTAGGGTTGTAAAATGCAGATAATAAAATGATTTTAGTACTATTTAAAATATGTTTATCAATTTTGTATACTTATAATACCTATACTGGCCCTCGAACGCACCCTCGCACATTTTTTAGTGCGCTTTAGAGTCTTGTTTCTGTCTTTTGTTTCTATGAACAATTAATTTATTTCATGCTTTTGCACAATATTTATGCGTATTTAGCATCTTTTTTTTCTGGTGTACGTAAAGCCGAACAGATTTAAGATTGTCGTTCCTGATAAGCATCCCCTCTAATTAATTCATACTTATTGGTGTCAACTTTTGTTTGCATCTTGAACAAATTTTATTTAATAATGTATACGGGACCTGAGATTTAAGACTAATGCTACTATCATGTGCCTTTAATAAAAAAAGGTCTCCACAATAAAAAATGTAGCGCATAAATTCGCAATTTGGCAACCACAAACTAACTTTTTATTTTTTATATCAAAAATCAAACTTGTAGTGTAGGATTTAAATATCTTTTTTAGGAAATTCATTTGTCTATAAAATTTATATTATTTCGTAAATTATCAACAAGTTTCATTGGAACTGAAAATTAGAAATTAGCCAAAAATCATTTGTAAATTGCGAAAAAGGAAATATAGATGCGTTTATAATAAAAACGGATGCAAAAATTAGTTTTGTCTATCATATTAGTGACCAATTCTATAAATACGAGCTGTTCAGAGAATACACCAAAACGTTTTCCAAAGGGACTAAGCCTTAAACAGAAACAAAGTCCAGTTAGCAAAAAATCAACTTCGTGAACTTAGATGCCATGAAAACGCAATCAGGTTAAGTATTGGAGTAATTTTTCGGTGAATTAGGTTACAAAACTTGAAGGCGTCTGTACCCGACAGTCAGCACTTTTGGATAAAAAGCTTTGATTCTTTAGTCAAGACTTGGCTAGAGTGATTGGTGAAGTCGCTAGACATCCAAATATTCTATCAGAATCAGGCTTGTTTAATAGTATAGTTATTTATCTATTTATAAAGTAAAGGATTCAAAAGACCCTAAAATTATTGTCTGATTACTTGCTTCCAAAGTGTGTACAATTTAACCTATGATTTTCAGGAGATTGTACAAAGTAAAAGCAGATAGCCGAAACAAGACATTTAAAAGAACGGATGGATGAACAATCAACTGAGATGAAACGACAATCGAGAATAACAGATCAAAAGATTGACGATTTCAAATATGAAGTCGCTTGTGAATTTGAAAGAAAGAAGCAACAACTGGAACGAGTGTAAGACTCCGTGAATCAACAACGTGGTTCATGGCATACGCCTACATTTGACGAAAAGAACACCTTTGAACATTTGGAACATATTGTCAGAATTATGAAATAATGCTGACTAAAAATACTGCAAAATTTTCAACGCGAAATTTATTCACTCGATAGGGGGCATGGTGCAAGTTAATTTACTCGATAGGTGACGACGATTTTTTTTGTTTTGCAATTTAGATGACGTCATAAATTATTACAAATTATTTTAAAATTTTCTGATTAATTGGACATGCCTTGTAAATTTTTATATTTTAAAACACCCGAAACAAAATCTAATTTTGCCTTGATAAGGAAGGGTGTGAAAAGACTTGAGAACTGGGTTGACTAGTGAGGCAGCTTCGAATAATCAGTACCTCTTCTGGTCCCTAAGAGACTTAACGCGTGATTCTATGCTCATTGGCATAGTTTCAGAAACGTCTTAAGTTCTCAAAGAGTCAGCCTTGGGTTCACCAGTTAGGCAGCTTCGAGTAATCAGTGCCTATTCTGGTATCTAAGAGACTTAATGCGTGATTCTATGCTCATTGGCATAGTTTCAGAAACGTCTTAAGTTCTCAAAAGTGGATTTGGTACGAGACTCTATGCTCATTGGCATAGTTTCGCACGCGTACTAAATTCACACAATTTGTTTCCAGTGTTGTTCTGACTCTTGTTGTCTTGTGTTGGTCGTGCGAAAGCCGATCAGACTCGACGGCCCAGTGAAAACAGGCCAGGGTTGTGCGAAAGCCGACCGACTGACTGACAGGCCCAGTGAAAACAGGCCCTTGGTCGTGCGAAAGCCGATCAGACTCGACGGCCCAGTGAAAACAGGCCAGGGTTGTGCGAAAGCCGACCGACTGACAGACAGGCCCAGTGAAAACAGGCCTTGGGTTCTGTGAAAACGAATCCGCCTCGTTGTTTTGTTTCTTGTGCTATTTGTGGACCTAGGGTTCTTTGCTGGATTCTATACTCATTGGTATAGTTTCACACGCAGTTTGGAATTTCCATAGGCTCCGATTTTTGTGATTCATTTTTTTATTTATTTCTTGGAGTTGTATCGACATCACCATCGGATACACACGTCGAGGTTTTACGATTAAACGGCAAGAAACATATCCCAAGTTGAAGACCCAACAAGAAGAGTTCTAATTCCTGTATTCCAGTTTGTTCATTGACATTTACATTATTATAGAGTTCATTAGTTCAATTCCTTTTATTTACTTCCGTCGATTAATAAAATTGTTATCGAATATTTTTCTTTACGCGTTCGTGTGTTACTCAGTAAAATCATATAATTCGAAAAAGCCCAGTGCCACACAGGACTGGTCGAACTCACGATAAAAATATACACAAAAATTATTGTCGGATCATACAAAAATTCCCTGAGAAAGATAGAGGAGGAGATTACCTCACACCACCAGCTGTTTTAATTGTTTTCATTTATAAATTTTCCGACAATTAGCGCCCAACTTGGGGCTTTGTCATCCTTTGAAAACCTCCTCCTTATCATTTTATTAAATTTAAAATTTCCGACAATATACAAAACTCAATTTAAAGAAGCAGTAGTCAGCAATATCTGGAACGAAAAAGTGATGGCTGATTGGTTAAATGTCCTGTTTTTGCTGTTGCAGTGACTAGAATCGAATACAAAGAGATCCCCGACTATCATATTCAATGTGTATGATGCGTGATTTTCACGCGTATTCATAGAATCATTTCTGGAACATATACAACGGCCGGGAGAAGGAATACAACATCTAGCACAAAAATAAACCGACTGTCAGACCAGGAGCATAGTAAAGAATCTGCGCTGGAATAGTTTATTGAAGCTCACCGAGATCCAGAATTTTGCAAAAATCTTTTGCTAGCAGATAAACCCAGCCTCAAAGATGTTGTCGCGTATGGTATTGCGTTTGATATGGCAAAAAATTGATAAAATAGTACGTCTATTACACTAGGAGTATTTGCGTCAAAACGTAGTCTTAGAAAAACGGATAGAGATAAACATGCCAACATACTGGAGTCATATCATTTCATATACGACGATTTTGCTGACAAAGCATAGAAAGCAATGGCTATCAACAGACAGAGAAATACAAAATGAAAGACAATAATTCCACTAACAAGATTTCTGAGAAATCTTGTTAGTGGCCATAGGGCAAAAATTAGCTGATGTACCTAACGCCTCCTGACCATAATTAACGTATATATATCTGGATTACACCGGAATCGCAACGATCTTTGGCTAGAAGGAAAGTTGACTCACATAATTGTACAATTACCATCGACACCGGAACCACAAAATTTATCGTAAGAAGCAACCTAATTCCACACCTGCAGCATGAGGAGTTCAACAGATACACTGAAGGAACAGCTCCTATTTATGTGGAAGTCAACCGGATTGACCATCTGATAGACTTGGCTTTTGAAGAGTCGTTTCTTATAGTGGATATTACCGACAAATGCATAATCAGTATCGATTTTCTCATACAACATGGTTTTAAGATTGATTTAGAGAAACATGTCCTTGGCTGGATAAATATAGAAATAATAATAGGGGTTAATGATGTAAAACGCGTTCAAATGACAATAAAATTAGAGGGCAACCTAAAGAAAAGAAAAATTACCTGACTGAACCAGTAACAACTATACAAGGTCTTAACATCATCATTGAAAAAAGACCTGGAGAAGTCAACGCAGATGGATTTATTCCGATCCCGGGTTTAAATATATTGAAACGTTCCGTCAAAATCAAAAAAGGCCAAACAAACCTCATGACCCTCCATATCGACATCTGAAAAGCTGATTCAATTCAAAAAGGACCGTGGCTAAACAAACAAGCAACTAAAACCTGGTATGATTTTAAAGGAAATATGCAGGTTTCGAAATCAATGACCTGCTGTGGTTATACTCAATGAAAGGACAGTCTCCAAAGCTTCAACAACATTGGGAAGAGTCATGCCGAGTCATTTCCCGATAAAAAGACGTTGTTCACTACATTCAAGAAAACCGAAAGGCTAGCTTCTTTCCACGACAACAATAAAATTGATTGTTAAAGGGACTTAACAATCTCAGGAGGAAGTAATGTAAAGTAAAAACGATTATTTTACAATTATGGAATTATTCTTTAGCCTTTGTTTTACTTTCTATTATTTTAAATATTTTTACGACCGGACTGAGGATTCATATAAGGGACGGATGATTTCATAGAATGAGGGGAGTTGTCGTTGGTGTTTGTTGGATTATGAAGTTGAACTGTGAATTATTGGCGGTCGGGCGACATCCAGTGTATTTTCGTGAATTAGTGGCTAACGTGCAATATTTAGTATATTTTTTGAATTGGCGAATAATTCAGTGTCTTTATTACTGTTGGCATTCAAAAAAACTTTTAAACAAGTCTGGGTTTATGGATGAAATCAGTGAACCTACGGTAAATTAAATTGTTGAATATTATATGTATGTGTGTATAATATATATAGTGTTATAACCGTGCTACCGAACGCACTGGAACATTCTAGAATATGCTAGAATCGGACCATCTAGAAGAATCTAGAAACGACGCTTGCGAAGAGTATATAAGCGCACGTCGCAAGTAGATTAGCGATTAGTGAAATTCGTGATTAGTGAAATTTCGTTATTTTGTGAATAGCGATTCGGTGAATTATTTAAAGTGATATTTGATTTGTTTTGCTGACGTTGTCATAGCGATAGATTTTGAACAATTTAAAAGTTAATTGTTGTGTTAATTTGAATTTGCTAGAAATAAACGATTAGTAAATAAAGTTTAATAACTAATAACCGTTTGGAGTATTTTATTCAATCGAAGATTTGAACCCGTCGCATCGTAAATCGGTTACGACAGCGAGTATTATAACAATAGGTTTTTAAAACATTTATCATTTTCCCAGTTTTATTTGTTTAGCTGTTCAAATATATGTCCTTCTTTTATTTAGTTTAGGATAGATTTAGAACAAATGATTTCGATCAATCAATCAATTAGCTTGTAAAGCGCTATTTCCACGATGTTCAACAGCTCTCCTCAATAAATTTAGCAGACAGATGGGTCTTGAGATCCGCTCTGAATTTTTTAAGTGATGGAGAAGTAGTCAGAGAAGTAGGTATAAAGTTCCAGAGAAAAGGGCCAGAAAAAGCAAATGCAGATTTAGCAAAAGAGTGTTTAACACGAGTTAAGAAGAAGTGAGAACAAGAAGACGATCGCAAACCGGGGTGTTTATGTTCAATATATATATATCTGATAAGTACTTAGGAAATAATTTAAATTGAGACTTATGCATAAATGTGCAAATTTTAAAAATTATTCTATGTTTGTTAAGTAGCCAATGCAAAAGAACAAGATATGGGGATATATGAGAAAAGAAAGGGGCACGAGCAACTAGATGAGCAACAGAATTAAAAGCTTTACTTGAAGAATAGAGTGTAGAATCAGGAAGACCATAGTAGAGCGAGTTACAATAATCAATCCTAGATAAGACTAACTAAGTATCAAAAAGGAGAAGAGTAGGATCATGAAGAAAATGCAAAAGTTTTTTTATTCTACGTAGATGAAGGTAAGAACTTCTAGCAACACTATTAATCTGAGAAAAAAGAGACATAGATAAAGATAAAGCCTAGTCTACCAAAGTTGTGAAAAACATCAAGTTTTAGAATCAGGTCAGATAATAGAAGGAATAGTAATAGAGTTTTTAGGTTTATTAAAACAAATTAATTTAAATTTAAAAGGATTAAGTTTAAGACACATTGAGTCAGATCAAGCGATAATTGAAGAAAGACATAGAGATAGATTATGAAGAACACTATTGAGAATAGATGGAGAAAAAGAAGTATAAATAAACCATCAGCATATAGTTGATTAGTGAAAAAAAATTATTAACAATACGAGGTAGTTCAGAAGTATAGAGTATAAATAGAAGAGGGACAGGGATAGAACCCTGATGTACTCCGAATGTAAGAATAAAGGAGTTAGAAGTAGAATTATTGAGAACAACAGAAATAAACGACTACAGAGATAAGAAGAAAACCAAGATAGACAAGAATCTGTAATATTAAAAGAAACATCTAGCAGCCTCAAGAGAAATCAACAGTATCAAAAGCAGAAGAAAAGTCAAAAGCAGGAAGAAGAGTAAGACTGTTGTCACTAGAGAGAAGGATATCGTTATTTATTTTGAGTAAAGAAGTTTCAGTATTGTGAGCTTGTCTGAAACCAGATTGCTACCAGAATTGTCAACAGAAAATGAAACAGAACAACAGAAAGAAGATTTTTTAAAGAGAAATCAAATGTTCTGAAAGGCAAACAGTTATTTATGCCAAGTCAATAATTGCGAATGTAGTCGAAGAAAACACATTTAAGAAAATAACAAACCGCATTAAAGGAACTATGAAGATCAACTGTTCCAAGTTCAGTAACTTTTTCACTTGGATAATGTAGGCGTAATCTGGCCAAAACTGAATAAAAATACGTGCTAAAATTGAAATCGCGGATTTTTTTCAGAATATGATAAAAGCAGGCAACTTAAGTTGCAAAGTATCAAAAAAAGACAAAAATTAAGCAAATGAAACAAAACAACGTTAATCTAACAATCTAGGTTTTTTAGATTGAATAATACATTATTTCGCTGTCTGACGAAAAAAATGTAACCTTAAAAGTTGCGGTAATCAATCAATCAATCTTCGTTTTGCGTCCAGAGACCCGGTTCCCCGAGGTAGGACGTTGTTTTTGCGCCAAATTAGACGATCAGTTGTATTCATTTCATTTAAATTTATAGCTTTCATGTCTTGCCCGATTGTTTGCGACCAGAACTTCTTTGGACGGCCTTTGGGACGTGTGCCAGGTATTTCAACATCTGCAAGAGAAGTTATGGCACTGTTTCCACTTCGTTTG